GAATTTACTTTTACACCAAATTTATACTGCGTTGGCTTTTTTAATGCATTTTTTATGGAAATAGATGTATTAGACTTTATCTTGAGTGTAGTATTGTCACAAATAGAAATAGATGACAAATTCCATCTAATAGCTTTCTATTCCAAGGAATTTTCAATAATTGAGATTAACTATGAGATCTATAATAAAGAACTCCTTGCAATTGAGGATTCATTTTAAGAATGGCATCATTATTTAGAAGGTGCTTCAATTCTAGTGACAATATATACAGATCACAAGAACCTTGAATATTTTATGATGGTACATGTTTTGAATCGTCACCAAGTGTGAGTATAAATTTTACTCCTCAATTCCAATTACAAGATGGCCTCAATTAAGAATTGCTTGTAATTGGTGGTATGAAGGGAAGTAATCAATTAACAAGAACAAAAGATGAAAAACCACAAAACAATTGAAATGAATGACATGAAGCAAGTACACAATTAAAATCTAAGTCACAGTTTGTTCATTGTGTTTTTATCCAATAAAAAGTAAAAATTAAAATTAAAAAGTAATTTTTTAGATAGGTAATTTTATTATCTTTCTAATGATATAAGAAACATATAAATCCGAATTACTATGAGTAAGTTATGAAGTTTTAAAAAATAGGAAGTAAATAATTAAAAAGTGAAGTGAAAATATTTTACCTCAAGGATAACTTGCTTATAGATCAAGTGTTCGAGCCTCACCAAGGCTCACATGTAGTGTATATCAATTGCCTAAAGAGGCCTTGAGGCCTTAGTCTTATCTTCCTACCTACATCCAAGGTGCTACAACCCAAATGGGACTTGTGCACCTCCCTTCTTACAAGGACTATACTAGCTGCTGGTCCTCCTATTTTCTACTAGTAGAATTAATATTTTTGCATTTTTGACTTCACCATGGTGTTCAAAAACATCCAATTAGCCTAGAAATATTGTGTGGCCTTCAAACCTTGCTCCATTTCTTCATAATGGCTCCCCAAGTGGTAAAACTCAATTTTACCAATGTCTTGAAAATTATCCTAAAAATTCATAGAAAATTCTAAATAAATTCTAAATAAATTCTAATTTTTTTTTTAATATTTATATAATTCTAATATACATTTAAAGATATAATTCCATATATTTATGATTTTTTATAAAGAATAAAAATCAATTTGAATCTACTAAAAATTCTAAATAATTTCTAAATAAATTCTAAAAATTCCTATAATGTTTCTATAATGCTAATAGCAATTTAAAGATATAATTTCCTATATTATTAATTTTTTATAGTAATATAATCAATTTAAATCTACTATAAATTCTTCTTTTTATATAAATAACTAAAAAGACATGAGGTTGTTTTTCATGCTTCTTTTAACTACTAACTAACATTTATAGTTTTTGTATAAGTAATACATATAGATATAAGATCAATTTAAATATTGATTTTAGTAACTAATCCTTATTTCTCAATAATAAGTAAAAATACTAAACCAACTAAAATAATTGCCTCCAAGACTTACTAAGACTCCATTTCTTCTCCACTAATACTATTCTTCTTTCTTTAACATCTTCTAACTACATCTTTACCTAATAATTGTAATTTTGGCACTTCTACATGCATTCTTTTGTCCTAAAATAAGTAGTGAATCAATTTGATGAGTCATACTAAGCCCGTTGGAGCATGTCATTATCAAGATTTGATTTCAAGTTCACATATAGACCTAGAAAAAAATAAGGATTATCAAATGTTCTTTTTAGACGTTCTTATCTTGCACCAAAAGACGAAGACGTATCTTTTGATCAATAAAGTACAATCCTCTTGAAGCTAGAGTATTTTCATCTTTGAGCAATGAAATCAATATTGATTATTAATTCAATCTTTGTCAAACAAATTCAATCAAATATGTCCTCTGATTCTCTTGTTTATGATATCAAGAATCTTCCTTCTAAGTCTCATCATGTTTCAAAGTTTGAGTTCAAGAAAAACCTTCTCTATTTCAAAGGACGCCTATATGTTCCAAAAGAAGAAGCATGTTTATGTGTTCTTCAAGCATATCATGACTTTCTAGTAGCAGGACATTTTAGATACAACAAGACTTTAGAGCTTATATCTAAAGATTTTTGGTGGTAAAAGACTTTGTCCAATGATATGACATTTGTTCAAGATCAAAAACTCCTCATCATCAATCCTATCGACTTCTCCAACCATTGCATATATCTGAACAACCATGATCTTCCATTTTTATGGATTTTATTAAAAATCTTCTAAATTCAAGTTCATATGACTTTATATTTGTAATCATAGATTACTTCACCAAAATGGCAGATTTTGTACCATGTACAAAATCTATTTTAGGTGAAGAACCATCTAAGCTTTTCATTGACAATATCTATCACTATCATGGATTATCAAAGGATATTATTTCAAATAGGAGGATTCAATTTGTATCAAGATTATAAAAAATCTTATTTAAGATTTTAAAGGTAGATATAAAGCTTTTTTTGGCTTTTTATCCTCAAATTGATAGGCAAACGGAATGGGTGAATCAAGTTCTGGAGCAATATTTGAGGTATACTATCAACTATCATCAAGATGATTGGACAACTCTTTTTCTATTGGTAAAGTTTGCATACAATAATTTGGTACATTCTTCTACGTAACAAACACCTTTCTTTGCCAATTATGGTTATCATCTATGACTTGATACTTTTGACTTTTTAAAAGTTGATAATCTTGCAGTGAAAGATTTAGCAAATCTTTTGTAAAAGCTACATGCAACAATGAAGATACAGTTAAAAAAAGTTCAAAAACGACAAAAGATCAATGCAGATGCTTATCAGAAGGAATAACCTTAATTCAACATAGGTAACAAGATATAGCTATTTTGTTGCTATATCAAGCAAAGAATCTTATAAATACAACAAAAAAGATTGAGATCTTTTATTGACAACATCCATCAAAATCAAGATGAAGAATTATAAAAATCCATAAAAGATGATTACTGCTCTTTATGGAACTCATCCCTAAAAGAGGGGGTAATATCACAGACATTCACATTTATTCTAATAGTTACTTATATAATTAGGTAGAAGTAGGTAAGTATAAATTAATTTCATAATTTCTTCTAGAGAAGCTTTTTAAAAGCTTTATAGATGCAAATTTGACTTTAGATGTGTTTATAAGTGAGGAACTTGGCCAATAAGTTAACTCCATGTAGTAGCTTGTGGAACAAGTTAACTACATAGTGCATATATAGATAACTTACCTTGCAAGTTAAAACATGTAGCTTACAAAGTCAATACATGTTGGAGGTCCTATAGAATATCACCACGTAGCTCATAGTTAGAGAGTATATGTAGAGGCAATAGTGAAGCCTTTTTCACTCTTGTCAATGTCTTTCTAGCCCTTAGTCTTATTTCAAGACTTTCTAGTCTTCTTATTTTTGGCAATAGCCACTCTAGTTTAATATTACATCATCTTTTCAGTGACTTTCTAATTCTCTTCAATGAAACAAGAGTTTATTGAAGATTTTCTTTCTTTGAGATTCATGTCCTTGATACTACCATACTCATACATCAGTATGTTTTGTTGGCTCTTTGTTATAATCTATTAACAATTTTTTTTTCTAACTTATTATTTTTTGATTCAAAAGAATTTTTATAAATCTAATTGAATGTAGCATGCAAATTAAGACGTGAGATATCTATTATAATATCTACTTCCTCAAGATATAATAATTGTAGCAATGCCACTACAAAAATATAATAAACGATTAGGTGCCCGATGTGGTAGACAATACATGAGACCTTGTTAAATATATTCTATTTGTTATTCCAAGATTTCCTTGATTGTTAACAAAAGAGACAACTTTTCAAAAGCAACATGGCATAAATATTGACCTCAATTCTTAAGATAAAACAACATTAATGGAAGTTCTTTTCTAATACATGCTTGCTCTAGCATTACAACAACATCATTAGGAATTACCATAGAGCTTTTTGTCTACTATAGAATGTTTATGCTAAGGCTATCTTTCAAATTTTTTTCTTCAACTATATTAAATTTCTTAATTGATGTTTGATCCAAGCATATCTATGCTTAGCTTTCTCCACCTTGGCTATATTTGTTTAAGAATCATTTGATGAAAGAATAAAAATTTGAATAGAAATTTGGAAATGAAAATATTTTTTCATTTAATCTATTTTGGATAGCAATTCTACTTGACCTCTAGCAAGCTAATTATGACATTTTGCATTCAAGTTCAATCCATCATAAAATCAAAAATTGAAATGTAACCATCAATCATATAATAAGATTCATGTTCTTTATTGATCCTATTACAAATTGCACTTATAATCCTTGATTATATACCACAATGTAAAATGCAAATTTTAAACCTTCATACATGTCAATATAAACATGTTTGGTACTAGATAATCAAATGTGCCAATAACAGTTGAGAGGATTTGGCATCTAATAGCTTTGTCAAAATTTTGGTACAATTAACATTAACCTAGTTCTATTAAGGTCTTGTGAACTCAAACTTTTGGTTCACTTTTGATGAATTTTTTTGATGAAAACAATGAAGCATGCAACAAATTAGAAAGGGTTTTTGTCTCCTTTTGTTTATCCCATGTAATTTTCTAAAAATAATCTTAAAAAACCCATGAATGTGTTAATTCTAAAAAGAAAAGAAAAGAAAAGAAAAGAAAAAACTAAAAAATAAAACAAAAACAGAGGCTTCTACTCAATATTCATAGTTTCATCCAGTAAAGTCCCGTGCTCATTTCAACCATCCAAAAGCAACTTCCATCCTCAGAAGGATGGATGAGCGGCGCTCCCGAAACATGGGCTAAGGAGGGCGACTCGGTTGCAGGTCACAACGCCAAGTGCCGCGCCAGCGCGGCTTTCGATTTCTTTATCTTTACTATTTGACTCTTCTCTATCTTTATCTTTCCTGGAAAGTGCTGCAAAGGGGATAGTGTTGTTGTTGCTTGCTGGGCTTGTTCTTCGCAGGCAGGGGCCACTCGCACTTCCTTCGAAGCTTACTTGCTTGCCATGGCGGTCTGCACGTTTGCCGCGCCCGTGGGGTTTCAACCCACTGAACTGCGCAGACAGGAGGGCTCAGAATGCGTCGGAACCTCTGCGGTGAGTGATGCGGGTCTCTAGAAGCTTTCAATCCCTTTTTGGTTGGGATTGTTGCGACCTGGCTTTGTGATTCTTGGTGATTTTTTTATCTTGAGAATTGGTATTGTTAAACCTCGAGGGATGATGGGTTCAAAGCGCTCTAGGGACATTCATAGCTCTCGTGTTCTGGGTCATGAGTTATGAATCCGAATTGGTGAGGTTTGCTGCAGGGGATTTTATGAGAGGATGAGATTTTGCTTTTTGAAAAAATCAGTTCTGGAGGGTCAAATTTGTAAGGTTTATGGTTTGTAATCACGAATATGTTGAGGACAGTAACGATTCAGGACCCGTTAGAAGAGCACTCTGGTTTCAAGGAGTCCTGGCAGTTAGTCGACAATGTTCGAAGCATGTCAACCTATACCAATCGTCACCCGCTTATACAATTCCCATTGCCAGACTCTGGACATGCGGAATCCTGCACAAAGTGTTTGCAATTGGTGATTTTAGAAATTTGAACTACTATATTTTTGGAGAAGGGAACAATGATCCTGAGTTCAATAGCAGCGCTTACGCTTGAACCGCTGCCAGCTCAATATACTCTTCTAAGGCCACAGTAGTGCAATTGATTTTGCAGTGCGAGCCCGATTATGAGCGACTCATTTTTAGGCCAAGCAATGTTCAGAAGGAGATATCTGATCTTTTCGTGCAAAAATTGCATTCATTGTCACCACAAGTTGGCGATCAATGTTAGGAGCCTATTCAACTCGCGTCCCTCTAGGCTTCATCCCTCTCGTTGTTGTGTGATGCAACTCTTGACTACAAGTTCAGAGCAGGAACATTTTACTTATTTTTCAGTGTCTTATGCTCGCAGGTCACTAAAGCTTTATCGTTGAAACCCAGCTCTCATTTGAGAAATCGAATTGGGCTACATAGCAATGTACGCCTTCTTAGAAGATGCAGGGCCGAGGCGAAACCCGATGTGGAAACCTCAAGTGCCAATAATTCCGTGCCATCATCTAAGGCACCCATATTTGTTAACTCTGTTTTAGAAAGACCGCCAGATTTCGAAGGGGATATTGAGCAGCCAGTGCTTGTGGGTGAGGATGCAGCTGTTTTTAATGTGAAGTCCCAGAAGGCCACTTCATGGATCTACTTCTTTCTGGTTCTAGGAACTGTCCTGGCAATTCTGTACTATATATGGCTCGATCCGAACACGGGGTACGGAGGTGCCTTTATTGATGCCTTATCCTCTCTCTCTAGCAACCACGAGGTGAGCAAGGCTATGGGTTAAAATTGGGTGCATTAACAGTGGTTTTTCATTGTCTACTTCTTAAGGTTCCTTATCCGTGCACCAGGTTCGCAGTTGGAAAAAATCTCCTGATGTGCGCAATGATTTACAAATTTGATAGCAGTAATTTTGGTTGAATGCAGATTGTCATGCTGGCCATTCTAGCTGTTTTTGCTTTGGTTCATAGTGGTCTCGCCGGTCTGCGTGCGTCAGGAGAGAAGCTTGTGGGTGAAAGAGCATATCGAGTGTTTTTCGCAGGAATTTCATTGCCCTTGGCAGTCTCTGCTGTGGTACGTTTCGGTAGCTCCCACCCTCGCCCGTCACGTTTTGTGCTTTTAACCAAACCCACTTCACTAGTTCAATGCACTTAAATGTCTAGACTGTGATTCTGTGCACGCACGTCGTACTATATGTTGAAAATCATGCTGAATATCACCTTTTTCTAAGTATCTAACTTGTGATGTTTCAATAATTGATACATGATGTTTAATCAAGGTTTTGAATCAAAGTTACCACGAAACCTTCTTACCACTTTGTACAATCATATTCTCAGGTATACTTTATCAACCATCGTTACGATGGTGTTCAACTGTGGCAAGTTCGCACAATTCCTGGTGTTCACGAGGCAGTGTGGGCACTCTCCTTCATTTCATTCTTTTTCCTGTACCCTTCCACTTTCAACCTACTGGAAGTAGCAGCAGTAGACAAACCAAAAGTGCATATGTGGGAAACTGGCATCATGCGTATTACTAGACATCCACAAGTAAGTTGGCCTATCCTAAATCCTCCTGTGTTACTCGCACTTTTTATGAGCCACTGCCTCCACAATCGCAAGCCTCTACTCCTCAAGCTTCCTCCCTGCACCTTGAAATGCACATCGGCTGCGATAAAAACAACAGCGTATCTCTCGTTTTGGGTGTTGATGTGCTCAATGATGTATGGCAGATGGTGGGGCAGTTTATCTGGTGCCTCGCGCACACCCTTTGGATAGGGAGCTCCTTCACGTTGACGACATCTTTTGGGTTACTAGCACACCACTTATTCGGGGTCTGGCATGGAGATAGACGCTTGTCAGCAAAATATGGTGAAGCCTTCGAGCGAGTGAAGGAGCGGACAAGCATCATCCCCTTCGCGGCTATCTTAGACGGTCGTCAGAAGTTGCCCGAGGATTATTACAAGGAGTTTCTTAGGGTGCCATATTACGTAATAGTGGGATTTACACTAGGTGCATACTTCTCCCACCCTTTGATGCAGTTAGGTAGCCACATCCTTCACTGGTAGTTTGGGGTGCTCAGCTGCACTTGTACACGTATCATGCTCTTGTACATGCTCTGCAAGATTTTTCCAATTCAACTGGAAAGCAATCGGCATAGACTGGATTGATGGCCATTCTTACACCAAGCGAGGAGTAGGCTCTCTGGATGGGCGGCTACCCTTGAGCGTAAACTTAAGGTGGAACTTCTTCATGCTCAAGGTTGAAAATTGTGATACATAGACGCGTTGCAGTTTTCTTCATGAAATAGTAACCATCATGCAGGGGCTGCAGCAACTAATAGTCTTCATGAGTTTTATCGCAGCATACTCAAATCTATCATGTTTGGAATTCTGCATCCAACGACGCATGAGATGATCGATTTTCGGTAGTTCGTCAACTGAAGTCCCAAATAATCACATTTTCTAACTGATATCACCTGGACCTTGTTGAATGAAATCACATATATAAAATCACATATTATACCAGTCTGATTGTTTGAAATCAAACTTCAATTTTGGAATGCTCACATTCACTTTGTGTAGATCTCAAATACATTTGTAACTTTTCTCTCTTCAGAAATTTTGTATTAATGTGTGTGTGTATATATGTGTATATATATATATATATATATATTGACACACACACAAAATACAACTATCAAGGCTAGGCATTACATTTAGACCACCTAGTAAATTTTCATTTCACCACATGTAACACACAAATTCTTGAACTCTAAAAGCATCCACATTTCATGGCCCCCACATCAATGTGGGACTGCTACCTTTTCATTTGCAAGATTGCTGGTTTGCATGATCCATGGGTCATGTCAAGAACACTGCTACAAATTTGCAAACAAGTGGAGTTTTTTTTAATATAATAGCTGAGAGTGCTGTGGAATAAATAGATCTAAAAAAAAAAAACCATAGATAGATAAACACATATGTACATATAGAAGGAAGGGAAGAAGGAGAGGGTAGAGGCTTGTGTAAACAAATTGAAAATAACTGAAACAGGTTACTATCATAATAATAATTTCATATTAGATATTTTAGTGGATAATTGTTGAAGTTCTTGGAGTCAAATGTTGACATTTGTTTTAGGATGAATAAATGTTGTGAAAGATGATATAGAGTTTTACTTTACTTTATTTTATCTTTTAAATTAACATGGGTTACATAATATTCATGAGAATTTTATGGTGATTTTATTTTTATTTTTCCTTATAGAAGCCATAAAATATATAAGAAACTGGAAATTCGATATTTGTGTGTTAAAATTGTACAAAAACAATAATAGTAAATCATGGCATAGTTATACAATGAGAAAATGAAAAATCCTATTAATTAACACATTTCTTATATTCTGTAAGTTTTTAAATAAATTGAGATGTTACTTAGGTTGTAGAAAATATGGTTACCAAAAAAAAATGTGAAACATTTTTATTAGTAAAATCCAAATTATCTTCAACACATTAGTAAATTTGAATTAAAGAAAGAAAAAAACAACAATTATTTTCTTGCTGAGCAAGATGCTCCCACAAAACATTTTTGGATTCCTGACAATCCACCCTACAATATGATGATCACAATGGAGTCAAAGAAAGAAACATGCCTACACACACTAGAAGTCAAGCAAAACTAAAGTCAACAATGAATATAAAAAAATAAAAATGATTAATCTCAACAAAAACTCATCTCTATTACAACTCCAAGAATGCATCAACATCAAGGATTAGCTTCAGAACAAAAGTAATATATATACTTCTTCAACCACTCAATTGTGTCCACTATCATTTCTAATGCTCAGAAAACCAAAACAACACATTAAAAGTACAAACTTCAAAACCCAACATGAAGTCTCCATGTAGAAGTATTGAGAACCCACTCCAACTTCTTCACCAATCAAACCAAAACATACACAGTCATGCTTGTGCTGCTACAGTTGTCAACACCATGAACTTCTGCACGTCACTGTTGCAAGAAGATTTGGATGACGACTCTCATGCCTTTGTATTGCCGCCTCCCACGAACGGCGGGAAGCGTGTCCATCCGCTCCCCTTCACTGAATCCAACCTTCCTGTGCAAGCTCGGCTGATGGATCCTACGAAGGATTTGGCAGCTTACGGTTACGACAGCGTCGCTTGGAAGGACATAGTCGAGAGCTGGAAGACGAGGCAAGAGAAAATGATGACTGAAGGCGGCCATCGCCGTAAAGGATGCGATATGGATGTCGGTGACAATGGTCCCGATCTTCCAATGTAAGTCTTCACTTTCCGTTTAACAATCATCGCCCAATGGCTCTCGTGACTATGAGCAGAGATTCGGGTCGCCGCTCGTGAATGACTTTTGTCCGCATTTTCACGTTTGTGCGGGCGCTTGACCAGAATGGACGAGTCACGACAGCCTCTCTTACGGAAAGTCCCAATTCCGTCGTCGAGAATCAATCTATACCGAATGCTGATCGTAATCCGGCTTGTCGTGCTAGCTTTCTTTTTCCGTTACCGAATTCTTAACCCTGTGAACGACGCTTACGGAATGTGGGTCAATTCCGTTGTTTGCGAGATTTGGTTTGCTATTTCATGGATTCTGGATCAGTTCCCGAAGTGGCTGCCCATCAACCGCGAGACTTACCTGGATAGGCTGTCCTTGCGGCATGAGAAAGGAGAGCTATCGAAGCTGGAGCACATCGACATCTTCGTTAGTACCGTGGATCCCATGAAGGAGCCTCCCCTTGTGACGGCCAACACGATCCTATCCATCCTGTTTGTGGATTACCCAGTCGACAAAGTCTCCTGTTACCTCTCAGACGACGGGGCTGCCATGCTGACTTTCGAGTGCATTTCCGAGACATAAGAATTTGCCCGCAAGTGGGTGCCGTTCTGCACGAAGTTCAGCATTGAACCGCGAGCTCCCGAGAATTACTTCGCCCAGAAGATTGATTACCTGAAGGACAAGGTGCAGCCCACGTTCGTGAAGGAACGGCGCGCCATGAAGTGAGGATACGAAGAGTTAAAAGTGCCGGTGAAAGCGTTGGTGGCGACGGCGCAGAAGTGCCAGAAGAGGGCTGAACCATGCAGGATGGGACCCCTTGGCCGGCCAACAACAGCAGAGATCATCCTGGAACGATTCAGGTGTTTCTCGGTCACAACGGTGGTCACGACACGGAGGGTAATGAGCTTCCCAGGCTGGTCTATGTCTCCAGGGAGAAGCGTCATGGCTTCAACCACCACAAGAAGGCCAGTGCAATGAACGCACTGGTGCGAGTGTCGGCCGTTCTCACGAATGCGCCCTTCTTGAAACTTGACTGTGATCACTACATTAACAACAGTAAAGCCTTGCGCGAGGCTATGTGTTTCTTCATGGATCCCAGTTTAGGGAAGAGGGCCTGCTACCTCCAGTTCCCCCAACGATTCGACGGCATTGATCGCAGCGATCGTTACGCGAATCATAACACTGTCTTCTTCGACATCAATCTTAAGGGCTTAGACGGGATTCAAGGACCGATGTACGTGGGCACGGGATGTGTGTTCAACAGAAAAGCGTTGTATTGTTATGAGCCCATTTTGAAAGAGAAGGAGAACAAGCACTCCGGCTGTGGCGCGGCTGTTTCGAAATTGTGCTGCAGCAAACGAAAGAAAGACAGAAAGAGGGGGAAGTCGAAGAAATCTCGGAGGAAAGCGGCGGTCACGCGCTCTGATTCCAGTACTCCTATTTTCAACATGGAAGAGATCGAAGGGGCTGAGGATAAGTCATCACTTGTGAATACTTTGAACTATGAGAAACGATTTGGCCAGTCGCCGTTTTTCGTTGCCTCCATACTTCTAGACCACGGCGGTGTGCATCACTCTGCTAACTCGGGATCTCTCCTTAAAGAAGCTATTCACGTCATTAGTTGTGGTCACGAGGACAAGACTGAATGGGGCAAAGAGGTAAGTCACTCGTCTAGAATATCACGATAGAAGGCGTTGAGGGGAGTTTCTCTCGGACAATCGTGGTTTACTAAATTAGGGTTTTTGTTGTGATGGGTGCAGATTGGTTGGATCTACGGGTCTGTTACAGATGGCGATCAATTTATTGCATGCCAACCAGGCCTGCATTCGAGGGCTCAGCACCCATCAATTTGTCCGATCGTTTGAACCAAGTCCTGCGCTGGGCATTAGGTTCGGTGGAGATTTCTCTAAGCAGACATTGTCCGCTGTGGTATGGTTATGGTGGACCCTTGAAGTGCATGGAGAGATTGGCATCCATCAACACCACAATATATCCATTGACATCTCTGCCTCTTGTCGCGTATTGTGTACTTCCAGCTGTGTATTTGCTTACCGTAAAATTCATCGCTCCCACTGTAAGCATCTGGACAATTTGCCTTGTCATGCTGAGGATCTTTAGCACTTCTGCTGGTCTGATGCGCAATTCTCACCATCGGGTGTTGCTCGTTTTGGCATGCGCAGATTAGAAACCTTGACAGTTTATATTTCATCTCTCTCTTTCTCTCCATTTTCGTCACCGGCGTTCTCGAATTGCGGTGGTCTGGAATTGGAATTGACGAATGGTGGAGGAACGAGCAGTTCTGGATGTTCGGAGGCGTCTCCGCCCACCTATTCGCGCTTTTCCAAGGGCTGTTGAAGGTTCTCGCCGGTGTTGACACGAATTTTACAGTAACCTCCAAACAAGCAGACGATGAAGGCTTTGGGGAGCTGTACATTCTGAAATGGACGTCTCTCCTGATCCCCCCGACAACTATTTTGATCTTCAATCTTGTTGGAGTTGTGACTGGCGTCTCCGACGCGATCAACAACGGCTATCAATCCTGGGGTCTTCTTTTTGGGAAGCTCTTTTTCGCGTTCTGGGTGATCGAGCACTTATACTCCTTCTTGAAAGGCTTGATGGGCCGTCAGAACAGAACGCCGACCATTGTGATCGTGTGATCGCTTCCATCTTCTCCCTCTTGTGGGTGCGAATCGATCCCTTTCTGGCGCGCTCGGATGGACCCAACTTGGCAGAGTACGGACTCAGCCGCTAGCGCTACAAGTCTCTTGCACAGAGCTCAAATTCACAGAGCTGTCTATCTATACAGATTAGAGTATGTCGGGAGGCAGAAGCGTGACTGCTTGAATCGTTTATTGACTGCCGCAAAGCCTTTTTGTGCAGATTGCACGCTGGGTGTTGACAGTGTTCCCGTTTCTAGAGCCTTGTGCAAAGCGCACTATGCGATTTTAGTCTAGATGAATCTAACAGGATCGAGAGTGCGATTCTGTTGCCAGAATAACGAGAAATCGCGGGATTGTCGCTGGATTCTGAATCGCCATTGTTTTATTCAATTGCAGCATCCCCCAGGAATTTCCAGCTCTCGCCGCCGTCATCTCACGTCTCTTTCGGCGTCACTCTGCGTCTCTTTCTGCACGTTACCCCTCGTCTCTTTTGGCGTCAGATCACGTCTCCTTGCGTCACACGCAGAGCCATAGACATATATAGTAGTCAAGTATAATGGAGTGCAATAGACTATTGTCCAACATCATCAATTAACATTCCTCCCTTTTTCAACAATATTCGCTCATTCATTTATTCTCATTGCCAGTGTGATCCTGTGATTAGTTTCATTTGAGGTTTGTAATGAAAGTGAATGATGAGATAACAAGATTTATTAAGAATCGTGAATAAAATTAAAAAGATTTAATAACCAGGCAATTTGGGTGATTTCACACCTGGATGCTAATAGATGGTTGAGTCAACAAGATAAAAACACAAAAATAGATTATGTATGTATGTGTGGATAATGGTGTTTTGGTTTGATTTTAATAATTTTCATAATACAATCTTAATCAACTAATCGAAATCTCAGAAAAAGGAGAAAAAAAGAAAACGAAAAATTGAGAATTTAAGGTGAAAAGTAAATGTTTAAATGAGTATTAAGCTAGGAATAAAGGTTAGTGATTTAAGTATGCCAAAATTTATTCAAGGGAAACATAATTCATGATATTAATCTAATGTTGCAAAACAATATGCTTGAGAGAATATATATATATATATATATATATAGATACAAACAATGAAGCTCAAATAAAATTTCGAAGTTTTCAAAAAAATATATTTTAAAACTTCAATTTTTAAATTCGTTCTTATTCTTTAAAACAAATCTTATAATGCAACAAAATAAAATTGGTTATTTTGAAAGTATTAAAACAACATAACATTTTATTACAATAATAGAATAAATTTATTTATTAATTAAAGAGGTTAGTTACCAATAAAAGAAAATAGTCAAATATTGAAATTTAAACTGTTATTGATAAATAAACAAAGAAATTACATATTTATTTATTAAATAATCTTTAATTTAAAAATCTTTTATAGATTTTTGTTTCACAACACTAAACAATGAGTTAAAGATATATACTACAATGCTTTCTACTTTTCCAATTTGTATAATAAATAATAAATATAATTCTAAATATAAAAAATCTAAATTTCTTTCAAAAATGCACATTAAGCTTCCAAAGTATTAAACATAATTCTTAAAAATTATATCATACAAAATCATTTTTGACCTTTGTATTTTATTTAGTTACTTAACATATTTTTATATTATAATCATCTATAAAGTCATTGTCAATACAATCAATTTTTTGTTATTTAAAAAAATTAGCATTTTATTTTAATTATCTTTATTTTTTAGTCAAAGAATATATTTTTAATAATCATAGTTTACATGTTGAATGCATTTTAATAATACTAATGTTAGAACCAACCATAATATTTATATATTTTATAATATGTAGTTTTTAAATTTTTTAATTGTTATAAAATTTGCAACTAAATCAAATCCCAAATTCTAAAAGAAATACATGAATAGTTTCAAAAAAAAAATAATTTGATTTCAAAATTTAACATTTTTATAATTACTTTGTAATTTTTTTTCATATTACTTTTATTCATCATCAGACTCTTTTTTCTCTTATTAAGTGTACATGCATAGAATAAAATGTTTTTTAAGCACAATTCTTATATAAATCTTTTAATTTAAAACTTAAATCTATTTATTTGTAAGCACATAATTCACTTTTATTACACACCCAATTACACATCTACATATACTTAAAAGCTAATTTAAGTATCATTTCATCTATTTGTAAAAAAATATTTTCAGATTTTTTAAAAATCACCAGTAACATATTTTTACTTCAATATTTTTAGAAACACCTTTTAATAAATCAAGATAATACCACTTAAAAAATCAAAGTGGAAGTCTTTGTAAACTCTATCTTCATAGCTTTGTACACCACCATGGAAATTCATGGAAAATAATGTGATTGCTAATAAATGAGGCAAGAGAAGGTGCAATAACCACATTCAACAGAAATACATTCACTAATCATGCTCCCAAAAACGAAGAATATTTACAAAAACGGCTAGAAACAACAATTGGGAGAAGTCCCCATGACCGTTACGCGTGGAAAGGGCACCATCGAGGTCCGAATTACACACCCAAAGGTGCCAAGTCCACCACGGCACGGTGCAGATTCCACCTCCACGGTGTCAGGTTTGACCGTGCCTCATAATCCGGTTCCACAAATATCGGTCTTGAGGCAAATCTGCGGATAACCAATCAGAGGTCGCGAGGGGGCACGGCAGCACGGTAGTGGGGGGGGGGATTCAGTCGTCGTCGTCCCGCGTAGATGCCACCCACATCTATCAGACAGAGTGGGGACGGGGGCTCCGTGGGGTTCTGGAACAGGTCACTTCTTCTCTTCTCTCCGTGCCTTGAGGAGGGCAAACCCTAATGTGCTCCCCCCTCCTCCCCTGCGTTGTTGAAGTTCCGCTTCGTCGCTCCCCTTGTGCCTGGATTCTCTCACCCCCCACTGGTAAACGCAATTGGTCACTTCCGTTGTCCTTCCTAGCGCTCGGCAAAAGCAGGCGCCACGCTGCGCCATACTACTTGAGTGTACCTCGCTGCGTGAGACGGTGAATTGTGCCGCGTTGTGTCGCTCCATGTGTGAGGGTGTCCGCTCTTTGGTGCTGGACAGAGGGCATCTTCTGTCCGACGAATAGATTGTGGTCGGTACTTGGCGAGTGCCGTTGTTTAGCAGGGAGGGGGAAAGAGTGAAGTGAGTGAGTGAGTGAGTGAGAGAGAGAGGGAGGAGAGAAGGAGCGTCAATTTGGAATTCTTGGAGAGGGGAGATCGTGGACAGGAAGTGCGGAAGAGGTTTTGGTTTTTTTCCAGCTGGCTCGGTGTTGCTGTCCCGTCCGAGGGAATCAGACGATATGAATCATCCGCAGGTGCATTAGTTGATATCCTGTGGCCTCTTTTCGGAATTTTGCCCCCTGAACCTCATTGATGTTATGGTGTGTGCGCACAATCTGCTTCAATACTTCCTATTTTGGACGCGCAGTTTAAGCTGTGCGCGGCCTTGTTGGTGCCTGCTATGATCGCATATTTTCCCTGGAAATTCAGAGCTTGACTTTTTCACGTTTATTCGCGCTCACATTTTCCGCAGTCGTCGCAGAAACCATTGCAGAATGGTGGTGGTCGACGAGGAAGGATCGACAAAGATGTCGTGAGTCGGTCAGATAACCTGAATTGGAGACAACCTGCGCGCTCAACCTCCAACTCCTATTCCAACAGCAACTCTTCCACACAAGGTTTGCGTCATTGTCGTGTGCAATTACATTAAAGCGCATCGAGGTCGTTCTTCGAGTAATTGTTTCTGCGTTGTGCGATGGCAATGCAGGGAAGGATGCCTTATGATTGTAATTTAGGGTGTGTGTGGCGTTTGTTAAGTAGGCGGAACGTATTCATATACTCGTTTTCTTCGTATCGACGAGGCTTGCCCATCATCTTGTTTATAGAGCTTAGTGATTTGTAATTGGTTTAGGTTTCATCAAACTTGCAGCAGCGTTTATCGTGAAAGCATCCGCGGGAAGCAATATTAATATTGTGTACACTTGTGCCCATCCAAATCGCAGTTGACACATATGAGTGACCCCTATGTTATGATCTTTCAGCTGAAATTGATACTCCTACAATTTTGGCCATAATTTCGATAATGTCCTGTGTAAGCTTAGTAGTCATTGTATCTATATGTGGAAGGTCACCTTTGTTAATGTATGCCTTTTTATATTTATATTTATTATTGAGTATCAGAAACCGATTCTCGAATTGATCTTCAGGTGGGAGTAAAGGAGCTCATGATCGACTTGTATACATGTATACCTGCTTGATAGGGCAGCATGTTGAGGTTCAGAAAATTGATGGGCATGTTTATTCCGGAATATTTCATACCGGTGTCTTTGATAAGGATTTTGGTAAGGCTTCTTACTCAAATTGTCGTTGTCGTTGGTTTATTTTCTTCCTAACACACTAAGGCATTGTTATTTTATCATGCATGAGTTTGGATTAATTGCATCTGATAACATGGAAATTTATCAGGACTCTCTCTCTCTCTCTGAAGATTGTTGATGTTGTCATGTCTAAATTTCAATGTTTATCACGCGTTATTCATACTCTCGTTTGTGCCCTTTATTCTTACATTGGCTTGGTGGGGCATATTTTCTTTAAGAAAAGGTAATCCTGAGATGACACTTTTCACACGTTCACGCCCATCATCTTGATGAATTTTGATTCATAAAGCAATTTTATTATCATTTATTAGGGGTGATTGTAAAGATGGCGAGGCTTGTCAAAGAAGGTGCTCTCTCCACTGAAGGTGAATTAGTCCGGGAAGCGGCCAGAAAACCTCCAATTAAAAAGCTGCAAATTCAAGGAAAAGATTTTGTACAAATTATTGCGAAAGTAAGTCGCTTGAACTTTTCTGAACTGCTAGGGCTAAAGATATTTTATAAAGGAATGTTTTACTTCTTGTTTTTGGTATTGAACGTTACAGTTTTACTGTTGAACAATTGTCCTTATTGTTGCAAATATGTTCGTTTCCTGCCAACATGCCTACATAAAAACGACTGTCATGTCGGTCTGGAGTTACGCTGATCCTCTGATTGTTTTTTTATGTCATCCTTGTGGATGATGCAGGATGTTTCCCTTACTGGGGATGCTTCATCCTCTAACCGATCTCGAGAGAATCGCTCTGAAATAGTGACTGATTCAGCTGTTTCACAAGGTTGGCATCGCGAATCTGAGCGTGAGCTGAAGCCATGGAAGCCCGATGATGAATCTTCTGACACTACAAATTTTAGCTTGAGTAACACATGGAGGTCAGTTACATATGGTTCGTAGAAAGACTTAGGCACAACCGTAGTGTTATTCTTTTGTGCTGTTAAGGCGTATTTATCATATACTTTCCTCTTTTCTTTTACAGCGGTGGGAATTGGGACCAATTTGAAGCAAATAAAGCTCTGTTTGGTGTGGAAACTACTTTCGACGAGGAGCTGTACACGACAAAGTTAATTCGAGGCCCACAAATGCACGAAAGAGAGCGAGAGGCTCAGAGGATCGCTCGGGAAATTCAAGGGCAGCAAACACGGAACATGCATCTAGCAGAGGTATTGACCTGATGATTTGCCGCTTTTTTCCTCAGATGAAATAGCCAGTGCTGTGCCTTTCTGTGTAAATCTTAGAATAATTTTTAGTTGCTTACCCTTAACTGTTATTGGACGTCCTGTAACTTTCCAATTTCATACAGTTAATCATTCATTAACTCATGCCAAGTATTCGTGTTTTAAGATTGTACTGTGCTGTACTTTCTTTCTTTCTTCTTCTTCGTTTTTTTATTATCTACAGTTGGTCAATTTCAATGTGGTTGTCAATATGTTTGTCCTTTATTATGTTATTTAATGTAAATGCTCCTTTTTAAATGTATTGTTTTGTTTTTTTTATTTACAGTATTTAATATGCTCCGCCTCATCTTGTTGTCCTGTTTTCTCATACGGACAATGTTTTGTTTCAGGAGAGAGGAATCCATTTGGCTCCCGAGCTAGATGCGTTGGATGAGGAGGCTAGATACTCTGCTGTAAGACGTGGATATCCAGATGAAGGTGACGATGATGAAGACCAGCGCATCGACGACCATAACGATGAGACGTTTGGAGGAACAGTTACCACGGTCGGTATTACCACCTCTCAGAACAGCAGCAGCTCTAGCACCGCTATCCCAGGTAGGTCTTTATGACTAGCCGTCAAGGAGTTGAGTGTGTGTCACAACTATGTAAGACTTTTGATTTTGCATCTGCTGTGTACATGTTTTGTGAATGCGGGGTACTGGATCATATACGTACTCAGAAGTAGATTTTGCTTAGCAGTCATGTTGATTATACTTCCTAGGAATGTTGTGTAATTGCTTCTGCGCTACTCAGTATGCTTGTCATTTTGTCAACCCTATGTGTTTGGTAATACTCAAAAATTCTGTTGTTATTATCATCTTTTACAGGGCAAGTATATTCTGAAGAAAGTTCTACACTACCTGCAGAACCACAAGTGAGTCCCTGCATTCCTAAGTTATCCTTGTGTGGCAATCATAATGTTGCATCCTGATTGAGTTTCGATTGCTGTATCTACCCAATCATCTATTACTAGGTTTTTCCTACTACAAAATACCTACTGCGTTTTGGCATGTTTAAGGAGAAATATGTGCTGTCGAGGAAGCAAAGTATGCGATGGCGAGTGTGCATGGCCTGAATAAAATCTGTTCCCATTCTCGTAGTGACACTTAATGTACCTTATTTCCATCCTTTCCTGATGGTGCCGAAGTTCTGACATGTTTCTAGTGCCTCTTGACGCTTTGCTTTCTGTGCCGCAAAGCTTTCAGATCTCAGAGATTCAGTCTCCTTTTTTTTATTTTTTTATTTTCTTTTTATGGTGGTTTGAAAACTTATTAGATACTACCCTGTTACCACGATCTCTCTTCTTTCTTTTTAATGGTTTCTTGATGCTTGAAGCATGTAGAAAAATTTCTTGTCCTGTGGTGTAGATTTGTCCTAAGCTTGTAGTTAAGTCATTTCAAACCACTTCGCTGCAAATGTATTTATACCACGAAAGCTTGGAATTCATCACATGACTGCAACAATATGCGTAGCCTACATATCTGCCGTGCAGATGCATTTTCATTGTTGTTCGTGGTTTAATACTTTCGGTCTACGCGCTATGTGCGCAGATTGTGAGTGGAAGTTCAAGATCCGAGAATTCGCGAGAACTTCAGGATCAGCCCCTGGAAAAGGAAGATTCAGGAAGCTCTGATATCTTCCCTGAGAAGTTAAGATTGCGGAAATTGTCACTTTTAAATTGTGGTGAAAAAAGTAAACACTCCAGTAAGGTATTCACTCCTTGTTTATTTGAAATACAAATTTTAGACATGCATATTTCTTATCGCATTAGCTTCTATATTTTCTTCATGAGTATCATTTTCTCGCATCTGTTGTAAGGTAGAGAACCCAGGATCATCGAATCATAGTGGTGAGTTGTAGGAATATTTTCTTACTGCGAAGCTGTGCTGGGAAGATTTGTAATTTTTCATTTTTAATTGTTGGTTTGGTATTAAAGTAACCATAATTTGGGGTATGTAAGTAATGTGTTTTTACGATAATTCTTACTCGTCGTTATGCTCCTTGGTTGTTTGGAATTGTTTTGTAGGGGTCTGGTTCTCCCTATAACAGTCCTATGGCAAGGGGTTCCCCGCTGATGTCTCCATTAGTCGGTGATCAATCAGGCATTAAAGCTCTGAATTTGGATCCGAGCTGTCCTCAAGTCTCTGCTGATGTTATCAGGTTGGTCTTTTTCTTCACTCAAGTGGCTGATTTTTCGAGTTTTATCTGTTTGCTTGCTTATCATATATTGTTCTTTATCAAAGGTGTGGTCAATTTTCCAGGTACAGTAGTTTTTTTTGTTGAGGCGCATTTGTATTGAATGCATTTTCAAGGGGATATTGAATGATGTGTGAAGAATTATTTGTTCAGGGAATTTCAGGAGTATAAGCAGCTGAAGTACATGGAGCAAGTGAAAGCACAGTTTGAGACCTACAAGGTGCCAACGAATGACATTTGAAATTTGTTCACCAGTAACTTCTGCCATGTTTCATCTGTTGGTGCACTGAATCAGCGTGTTTAATTACCATACGTCTGTCACCCCGTAATTCTCTCTATAATTACAGATTTTGCTGGAATCTTGAGGTTTTGAAGATTGCAGTGCTTGATGTAGTTGGATGCGCGTGCACTACTATTGTCTTCTCTGACCTGATGTTGTATGTGTCTGTAGGAGTTGGAGCCACGTTCTCCAGGAGCTGCAGGTTGCCTTTCAACTCCTTTTCCAAATTTGGTTGTGTTTTATTTTGTATCACGGATGGTTGTCATGTGTTTTCATTCCTTCAGTTGTTAGTGTTGACTGTTTCTGCTATTGTTTTAGTTCATTTGACTCGAATATGTGTCATTTTTTTAAAGAATGAATGGGATTCTCGTACTGTATTCTATTCGTGATTCGTGATCTTAATTTGTTTCATTTCAAGGCATTATCTTGTGAGTTAATATTTTAGATTAACTGTGATGAACAAAATAACCGCACATCATTTATTTATTTATTTTAAAATTGAATCGTTATGAATTATCAAACATTGCAGCTAAGGGTCCTGCTGGAGATACGCCCAAAGAGAGCAACGTTCAGCCTGCCAGCCATGACCTTAAATCACATTTAGCACCAATGTCTGCTGCTGTTCAACGCAGTACTCATGTTTCAGCCCCACCTCCTTCGTCATTGCCTTTGCCGACAAGTCTGAGCTCATCAGAGAAGCCGGGATTGGTATGTACAATACCCAGTAGGAATGCAGCCTCAGTGTCGCCTTTTAGTGCTCAGACATCTCGACCATTCTCTAGTTCGCAAACTCAGACAACCTCTACTCCAAACTCGCCATCATCTTCTACATCATCTTTGTCTGCCGCTTCATCATCAAAAAAATCTCCGCTAAATGCACATGCCAAGGTACCAATTCCCCTTGATTGTTCGTCTTAACCTTAGTACTTGTCTTGCTTGCGCCATGTGGTTATAAATACTGTGAAGATCCTTGTTCTTTGTTTCCGTCTTTCACCTGATCTGGTGGTTCTTTTGCCTGAACATTCTACCATAATTCGTGTATGCAGGAATTCAAACTTAATCCAAATGCCAAGGCATTTACTCCAAGCACCCCCTCAGCCCGGCCAACTGTGTCTCAGCAGCACCCTGTAGTGGTTCAAAGTCCTGTGTACTCCATGCATTCTGCTGTTCCTGCGGCAACTTCAATACCAGGATCTCACGTGAATCTGCAAAACATCACTCAGCACAACCAATTCCCCCCGTATAATCATGTGGTTCCCTCACCAGTTGTTGCAAGTAACCCAACATCATATATGCAACCTTGGGTGCCTGGATTTCCAGTAGGAGTTGGAGGTGGTGGTATTTTACCTGGGCAGCCGAATATGAGAGTACCACATTCACAACAGCAGGTAGCATGTTTTCTTTGATAACAGAGCCATCATTAAGATGTCCATTCGTGGTAATACGTTTTGTATGCGTTGTTTAAATTCATCGTATGAGTAATTGTTGTTAGACACTTCGTTATCTTGAGACATTTCATTTACTTGCTTTTGGCGCAGACCATGACAAGAAATATAGTCAACTAGTTTGTACAGTATTCGATTCTACTACGATAATATCCAATATTTAGCTTTAGTATACGCTTTTACTACAGTTGCTCTTGTAGTGATCATTAGTCTTAATGAACATCGCAGGCAATGCCCTCATATGGACACCCTCAACAACTAAAATTTCCGATGCAGCCTTCCTCTTCTCCCATGCAGCCTGGCCTTTTGCATCCAAACGGCCAAGTGGTATGATCCTTATCTTCCTTGCTCTGACAACCATTTTCCTAGATTGTGGTGCATACCTATATGTTAAGAAGATGCGTTGTAGTCTGTATTTATTCTCTTCCGAAATGCTACACATTAATGTGCTTCGCTTGAAGGGTTCATTTGGAGTTTTCTAACGCAGAATATGACCCAACACATCGGACACAAGTTTCTTTGTGTTTTGATCTGATGAACGTTGAGGGTCTCATTTTAAAGATAAGTTGAGAAGTATTATTCAGTTCCAGCACGAATTACATGGATTAGTCAAGACAGCATGCCCTCACAGTACTCGGAGTTAGTCATGCTATAATTTACTTCAGTTTTTTCCTTATTATTACTAGGGTTTCGACAGTATGTGTTTGGCCCCAACGTGGCCCGTTCTGGCAGTATTCGTGTCGTTCTGTACTTGGTAAATGTTTGATTGCTCTGTTAATCAGGAGGCATGCATTTCGTTGTCAATTTTGGGAGCATTCTTTATCTGCATTTGACAAAAGTTTGAATCCATTTTCCTGTGCAGTATCCACCACATATGATGTACGCGCAACCTTCAAATCAAGTCGTTTTCGTGCCGTACCCACATGTATGAACATGTTGGTTCTTGCGTTAGTAATTCATGTTAATTTTCAATGTTGAACTGAACGATGGAGCCTGATGTTAGTGTGGGTGGATTAGCCTTTTTGGAGACTTAGGACTGATGATCACTTGTTGGGTCGTGGGTTATTTTTGTTTCGCAGAAGTGATAAAAAATGTTTCGATTATCAAGCAAGTTTCAGTCAGGAGCAAGAACTACTAGAAGACCATCCATTGTTACCGTCATATCCTTAACATGGTCAATGAAATACGAGGCGACCACATCTTCGTCGACCATCTTGCCTCCAAGCCCTTAATAGACAACTGCAGTTTTGTGGAAATGTCCACTCGACTCACGACAAGAGGATATGCTCATCCGAGTGGCTTCACACTGTTTTTCGAATCCTCACCGTGAATCAACACTACGCAAGCAGGAGTGAGTGGCTTCTGGAATGCTGAGACAGCTTTTAGAACGAGGACTTAGACGAGAGTAGAGAAGCTGGTAGAGATGAGAAGCCAAGAGTAGTCGGGGCCAGTCTGCTCTCCCAGCAGTAATATCCATTCAGTTTCTATTTCGGGCTTCGCATTCTTGCAGTTGGTCAAGGTGCTGTACTTCGATTTGTTAACTCAATTTGTAATGGATGTTTTACCTGTACTTCGCCTTGAGCAGCTCGTCACTGGTTATGCAAGCTGGTTTGTTCCGAACTTCAGGATTGAAGCTCTTGGAACACACGCTATTGTTGATGTGCATTTCTTAATAGTTGCGGTGCATATGCTGCGCACGCCCGTGTGTCTGTTAATTGACGTCACCAGCCTGTCTTTGGCTCCGATTTTGGCTCACACTGCAAGCCACTGCACAATTACAATGGATACCGCATCAGTAAGGTTACTCATGTTCCAAATACAGTTGCACTAGCAATGCGGTGATCAACACAGAAACTGTGCCTCACCAGAGGGTTGTATCACCATAAGCTGCTGGTTCATTTTCTGCACTTTTCCTGATCACATCACGTTGTCTCTTCCGCTTAACACTTAAAGAGAGGTCGAACAGGATTGCCACTAAAATGCGGCAGCGGCTACGGATGGCAATTTGCATGGGGTGGTAGTATGGGATATTCCTTCCATATTCTAGTCTTAGTACCCTTTCCGGTTACTTATCCATTTCAATGCCATGGGTAAGAGGACAATTAACTCGCGGCACAAGCCGCGTGTGTGTGCGCATGAAGTAGCAGTAGTTAGTAGCCCTGTAGTTATAGGGATATGATCTCTAAGTTGGGGGGGGGGGGGTACAGTGGGAAAGCGGGAAACGCTTGAGTCTGCGTTATGGGAGCCATTATTGATGCATGGCACTTGGCACGTTGCTTGCTCGCCAATTGTCTGAGTCAAAACCTGGCTGCCATGCCTTCCTCCCACTCTCCTGCTTCCCTTCCGTCATGCTATAAAATCCCACCGAAGACATAGCGATCTGCATTACATATCATTCTGTATCCTTCACATTTTTTCTTTTGTAGCAAACCTCATAGATTAAGGTGGGTTTTGTTGTTATTGGGGTTTAGGACCAGTGGTGGAGGTGGTGTGTTGCAGGGTCACAATGACGACCGCGACGAGGGAAACAAGGGGTAAGGCTAGGCAAGACGAATCGTATGAGCCAGAACCCGATGGGCCGGTGCATGAAGGTAAGAGGCAGAGGGTGGTTGTAGGTAGTAGTCCCGCCCGTGGGACCCGATCGGGTGGCAAAGCTGCCAAGAGCACCAAGCAAGATGCTCACACTGAGGAGCTCAACAGTTCCGCTGAGGACACCGTGGAGCAGTTTCAGGAGTTTGTCGACAAACTGAAAGATGAGTGTTCGATTGAGGACGTCAGAGCCATCGCTGTGGAGAACGGGCTCAACTCCTTGCTTCCCGACAATATGCTTCTGCATGGCGTGTACGTCTTACAGTCGGACAGCTTTATTTGCTCAAGGCTTACATTGTCCTGAGGAATTGATGTGCAACGATTAGATATTGAAAAATGTTAAGCAACTAATCGGACGGGGCCCACGTTATACTGATTCGGGAATTTATGGATGCAGTGCCGATCAACTCTTTTATGGGCCTTTGCAAACCTGCCCCCTGTGCGAGTCTCATGGCACACATGCCGCGCTGATATGTGATGGACATCAGTACAAGTGTTCTGGTTTCATATCGGAGTGGACGATGTGTAACTATACGGCTCCTTCGGCGGAGCGCACTAACGGGTGTTTGAAACTTCCCAAGAAGTTGAAAAATGAGTTTCTAAAGCAGGTTTGAAAAAATGACTTCGCATGCTTCCTTTTCAAGTGTTGTTTTTTTATGCTGTCAATGTGACACTGACCCCTCTTCCATGTGCATGATATTTGGCAGTTCGAAAAGTCGCATGATGCCTCAAAGAATCCCAAGCGAGTGCTAGCTTCTGGTGAAAAGCCATTTTTGGGCATGACGATCGTGTTGTCAGGTCGATTGAGTCGTAAGCAGGTGAGTCGTTTTGCTTCATTTTCTGGGGTTACAGCACCAGTCCACGACTTTACGAAAACTTTACACAGCACTAGAAATTAACTGAGACTAGAGTGACTGGCAGATGGAATGTAGAAGTCTTTTCATTCTACCGTCAAGTTAGGCTGCGTAGAGGTTTTTTGCTCTCAATTAACGACTGGTATCGATGACGTTAATGCTGCTGTTTCAGGGTGCGCGCAGGGCCGACATAGAGAAGCACGGAGGAAAGGTTGCTAATGCCATCAAACCGGGTATGTTCCAGCAACTCGACCTCTTTCGACTATTAGTTCCACCATTTCGTAATTTGTATAAGTATTGCTGGTGAAGAACCCTGGAAAAAAATATATCTCGGGTTTTGGAGTCACGCCATTTGAAGACGATGGTTGTTACTGCAAAGTATTGGTGATAATTGCTAAGTCACAAATTATGTTTTTGGCACTGTTCAGGTGTGACATGCGTAATAGCAGATGCGCGAGATGCTAGCGGGGGTGGTGGATCAACGAAAAGTGCAGATGCGATGTAAGTACTATCGAGTAATTTAATAATTCTCTCAAAATGGTTTGCTTATCCTAAAGATTAATGTAAGTGTAATATAATTACGCAACTGCGTTTGATTGGCAATGAGTAGCACAATGCTAACTGGTGCATTTGTTTCAGATCTTTGAACATTCCGGTCGTCAGAGAGGAGTGGATTACCGATTGCATCAAGCAGAAGGAACAACTTCCGCTGGAGAAGTATGATATGGCTGCAGAATTCCCAGGAGAGCGTGATGTACCCTGGGACAAAATGTCTCCTCAAGCTGAGGCTGCTCTATCTTTGATGGCTGAGGTGATCAGATCAATTATCATCCTAATTAATGTTGTTGATTTTGATATACTTATATTTTCTGATGTTCGTAAACCACCACTCATGTGAGGCTAGTTTCAATTCTAATCTGTTGCTCTGTGGTGCATGTCTGCTTCTGCTACTACAGGTGAAGTTGGTCGGGAAACGAGGGGTATACAAAGACACGGAATTGGAGGAGGAGGGTGGAAAAATATTCGAAAACAAAGATATTATATACAACTGTGCCTTCTCCATGTGCGACATGGTCGCTGGAATTAACGAGTTATGTATTTCTTCCCCATGCCTTTCATCATAGTATATTTGCCTGAAATTGGGTGTGGATCTGACAAGGCATTGTAATTAACCCAATACTTGGTTGGTTTCAGCTACGCAATAATGCAATTGATTGAAATGCCCAATAAAGCAGTATATCTGTACTACAAGAAAGGTCGCGTAGGAGATCGGCTGCATAACACGGAAAGGCTTGAGGAGATGGACAGCACTAGACAAGCCATGAGAGAGTTCGTGAAGCTGTTCGAGACTTTGACAGGGAATCCATTTGAGCCTTGGGAGAGAGAGAAGAAGTTTGAGAAGAAGCCAATGAAGTTCTTCCCAGTTGACATGAATTCGGGAGTTGACGCCCGTGCCGGAGGCCTTGGTGTTCATCAACTTGGCACAGCGGCTGCTCATACCAAAATGAATTCTCGGGTGGCGCAGGATCTAAAAGTCCTCATGAGCCAAGAGGTTTACCGGTACGGGTCATTAGGAAACTAATTGATTTTCTACTACATGTGGATGATTCGATTTTGCCTTTAGTTGAAATAACTTCGGAACCAGCAGCGTTTCAGATGGGATGATGTGGTTTCTGATGTAGTTCGGAGGTTTTGTCAAGGCTACTTGGTGTAGCACTGTTGTTGCAACTACAGACAATGTAAAAATATGTGGTTTTTTGTCATCTTACCTTCTTTCCTGCATCAGGTTTGCCATGACGGAAATGGCTATTGATGCACCTGATCTTCCCAGCGGAAATTTGACGGAATTTCACCTGGAGAGATGTAAGCTGCTGGGATTCCCGTCCCTTATTACTTTTCATTAACTGTCTATTATTTGAAAGTTAGGGACTAAGCTCAATTATGAAAGAAAATCCAAAAACTGTAGTCTGTAAGTGGAAGTTTATGTATCTGCTTAATATTTTTTTATGGGGGAGGACAGGTACGGATGTGTTACAGCAATTCGCGGCGTACCTGAGGGAGCCTGAGGAAGACGAGTTGAAGCATGAACGGATGTGCCTCGACTTCAGCAACAAGTGGTGGTCGCTGGTGCACACCACCCGTCCATTTGTCATTAAGGATATCGATCAAGTCGCACAGATGGTGAGTCATGTTGTCTACTGGCTACGAATCTGTCTCAGACAGTATCTCAGTCATTATAATCTAATGAATATCCCTTCACGTTGATTGCTTCACATCATATGGCTGCCATGAATTGCAGGCGGCGCCAACTCTGGAAGCACTGAAGGCTATTTCAGTAGCATCCCAGTTAATTGGGAACTTGAAAGACGAATCAACTCTTGACGATCCATTGGCAGATCGCTATGCGAAACTTGGCTGTCAGATCACACCTTTGGACCATGACAGCGAGGACTACAAAATGATCAGCAACTATCTGGCCAAAACCATCGCACCAGTGAAATTCATGGATTCGGTATTTAACAATTCAATGCTCGTCTTGACCTTCTTGCACATGAAAACTATATGAATCGTTGCTGTGATGGTTCTGTTCTGGTATATTTCATTTAAATTTTGATATTTCAGGTTTGTTAACTCTGTGAATGTTACAGGAGTATTCTGTCAACTTGCAAGAGGCTTGCTTGATAGATAGTGCTGCAACTCCTTCTCTGAAAGATATTAAGAAAATGAGCAACAAACAACTTCTCTGGTGTGGTATGGTGCTTGTATCTTGGCTTTCTCCGGTTGGTTGTTTGGGTGATGACAATTGTGCACATGTTTCATACTTTCAGAATCACTGGATATTTACATGTGATTACACTACGCTGGAAGAAAATAGTCGTGATAATCATATTGAAATTCATACAGGTACCAGAACTTGCAACCTACTCGCTTGCATGAAAGTAGGCATGCCACCTGCTTCAATTGAAGCCCCAGCCTCAGGATACATGGTAAGTAATATCAATATGGATATGGCTAGTATATTTCAGCATGTCAGTGATGATTTCGTTTTCTTATTATCGCCTTGACTAAGCGATAATGGACTCCTCGCGGATATGGATTGAAATGTATGTGCAGTTTGGAGAAGGGTGGTACTGTTCTGATTCTGCAGCCCGGGCAGCTCAGTTTGGGTTTACAGCCGTAGACCGGCCAGAGGGGTACCTCATATTGGCTGTCGTGGGGTTAGGAGATGAAATTTTAGAGCTTACTAAACCTGAAGAGGTATACCTTCTTCTCTCTGCACTTCTAATTCGTTGCTTATCAACAGAAGGTTTTTCTTAGTTCAAGTGTAATAAATCCAATTACAACATTTTCTGTGCACCCTTACGCTTTCACCATGCTGGATGCAGGATGTGAGCCAATACAAGAAGAAGAAAGTGGCAATTAAGGGTCTGGGAAAAATGACGACAGATCCGGACGGCTATATTAAGTTCGAAGAGGACATCACAGTGCCATGTGGTCCACTGATTCCTGGCAAGGAAGATAGTCCTCTCGACTTCAATGAGTTCTGTGTTTATGACTCTATGCAAGTGAGCAGCATCATCTTACTACTCAAATTCATACTCCATGTGGTAGTTGCAATATTATATTTCTTATGGATTCACGTCATGCAGAAACAGAGAAGTCTCCTCACATTATTCTCGTCATTTCTTTTCACTGATTCACTTGGGTGGTCACAACTGTGTCTGTAGGTGAAACCTCACTACCTGCTTCGAGTAAGATACGAGTTGGTTGCATAGATTGGCAGCGAGGCAAAACAATGGTGCTGGGGTTACGTTGGGCTGTAGCTCAACATTTCATGTAGTTGCTCATAAAAGTTGGATTTTGAGTTACAACTGTACTCATTTTAAGGAATAGCCTCACATTTTGCGTAGTGAGAGAGTACATGGATGTAGAGCAGTTTATCTGGTCTGGAACACGGTATTTATATCTGCTGTACAGCATGAACATGAACATGAACATGAACTTTGTTGATTTTGTAACCATCTGAAAGGTGAAATTTAAAACTTTTAGTGAATTGCATTGATTTGGTAACTTTGTATATTAACTGGTCTTGTTTCGCACCAGTAACTTCACTTTTTAATGCTAACTTCTTGCAACATTACTTCGGAAAAATATGTGCAACAATTGCTTCATGAAGTAAAGCATTGTACTAATGTGTATACAGATGGAGCAAGCAAAAAAATGAGTATCAAACTCAAATAAATGTAATATAGAAATTTCACATGTGTTGAAGAGAGAAAAGTAATGATATTGCACATATTAAGATGGAACATACCATTCAGTTACATTCTTCTATTAATATATACAAATCTAATTACTGTTGCACTGGTTACTATAACACTGCTATTTCAATAAAGCTGAGTTCTTTATGTCTTCAAGTAAATGATTTTGGACTATTTCTTCCATGAATATAGTCACTCTGTTTGAACATGTCCACATTGTGTATGTAGCCGTTAACTTGGACTGAATAATATAAATTATATGTCTATACATATTTGTTACTTTTTGTATGCAAGATATTAATATTACTTTCGTGTGTATATAAGATTAATTAATTAAAATGAAATTTTAATTTTGTCAATTTCATGCATTTCTCTGAGACTATTCATAGTAAAGATGTAAAGTCTTCATCAATTTTTAATTGTTACTTTCCATAATTTACACTAATTATGCACATATATATGCACACACATATATATATATATTTCAAGTAGTTTCAACAGTTCTGAAGTCAACTTTATTAAATAGTACGAAAATTATTGTACCTGTAATTTAAAACTTTTATTAAGTGAGTTCGAGGGACCAAAACTACGCGGCAATATGGGAAGTTTTAAAATTTCAAGTTCACTTCCTCGACGACAGAAAACTCTCCGTCCAAATTGTTCGTCGTCTTTAAGACATTGATCCTCGAATGCTGCATGTGTTGTTGTGCTGCCATAGCCAGGATCGCTCTTCGAAATGGTCGACGCCGAGGATTTCGACGATGACTTGCTTGACAGCGCCTTGTGAGTCCTTCTTCTTTCTCGTCAGCTACAGTAGTTCTCTAGTGTTACAGAAAAAATGTTTGCAGCTACATTTCAAGCTGCTTCATCCAGTTTCGATTTCCGTGGAGTTGATGGCTTTAATCTCAAGTAAGATGACTGTCTTATCTCTCCGGCTCTTAAGAGTTCTCGAAACAGAATCTTAAGACAGTTAATAAAACGAGGTCTAGTATCTTACATATGCTCAGAATTACCACTCTAATCAATCACAACGGACCTATATTTTGTGAATCTTGTTTTTTATTTAATGTGGATTATATTTAATTCCGCATCGAGTAACTTTTATTCATGGATTGTAGAGCCTGTATCAATTATGGCGCCTCATAAAAGTTAAAAAGTTCTCGAACAAAGCATTGTGATGTACGAGTCCTCTGATGACATCTATTCTGCAACATGAAACAGAGAATTTGCAGGATATGCAGAACTTGTTGGAAACCATGATGCAGCAGCTACTCTCCAAGGAAGTATTATATGAGCCGATGAAAGAGATTGTTGAGCATTACCCGATATGGCTGGAGTCATTTAAGTCGGAGCACATCACTGAGGACTTGGCGCGCTACACAAGACTACACGACCTTATCACGCAGCTGTGCCTCTTCTTTTTTTATTCTAAAGTTGTAGAACTTCTGCAGGATATGTAATAATGTGGGCAACCATCCCGAGATATAGTTCACGAGCTTGCGCCTGGACTAGAACTTGGAGAAGGCGGTTTGCCAATGTTTGTGCCTCCTAGTCTTGTACTTGCTGTAGGTCTTGTTTGTCAACTATGATTCTCTCTGTGAGATAATTGCATGATGGTTAAGATTTATCTATTGATATGGAGTCAGTATCATTTTGTTTGTGTCCGTTACCTGCTTGGAAATGAAACAGTGCACCGAATCTGTATGCGTTAAAAGATTTATTACAGTCTCACATATTAAAGTTTCGTTAACGGAGCTTTGAAGAGTTAACTTGAGAATGTAAACCGTTAGATGTTTATCTTCGTCATTGGAGGCTCCCTGAATTCTCAGGAGGAGGCGCACTCGGTGGTCCTGGTAACTTAAGCACCATGTGATGGATATCTAATAATAGGTTAGCAAGAAATATAGATAGATAGATAGATAGAAAGATAGATCTTTTTTTGGTCTGGTGAGGGATCTGGTTGAAATCGAACATAAGGTGTGGATCAAAGGTTGTCCGTTTGAATTGTTTGTTAGATTAGAGATTTCTAGTTATCTTAGTAGTCTCAGCGAAATTTTACGTTTCCCACACTTCGCGACTCAGGAAGGGCATGGGTTTTGAGATAGCATCGTTTCTATAGGTCAGCAGTCATGGCAACGACGCGTTCATCTTAAAATTCAGAATCGTTTGGTACAGTGTGTCTGCTGAAGTAAGTGGTTGCATTGACAGATTCTTGTCCGGTGCAGAAGTATAATGTATGCTTTCGAAAGAAGTTTTCGATGCTCTTCTTTGTGAGGGATTGTTAGTGTTGGATGGTTCTTTTGTTTTAGCGCCATTCAGGTAGAACGTTGCGGTAATTTTTTAATCTGCCACACACACACACACACACACATATATATATATATGGATGTTCAAGCATATCGTCGGCTGGAGTGCGAGATTTTCTTCTTTCTTAATGAAATGGGGTGATTGTCAGATCAATGTCACAGCACCTAACAAAGATGGTGATGAGATCACGTGGCTGAAGGACTGAACATAATCATACTGAGAAAACGGGAAGAAAGTTCATCAAGCTCAGTGAAATAGGTGGTTTGAGTTGAACAAGCCAAGAACGTGAATCTGACTCATGTAGTAGATGGCCTTACTAACAGAAGTTAGTTATTCTTTCGCCCAGGCACATGGGGAACTAACTGCTGCATACTTGACGGCTTGGATAGGTTTTTTTGAGGCATGCACGGCTGAATGTGCCTATTAAAAGTCTTGGAGGGTAATATAAATGTACACAACATCTTCTGTAAGTGGATGAAAACTTGGGTGATCTTTTCTGATATGTTCCTCAGCTTATAAGACAGACTGTGCAGTTTGCTATCTGAAGTGTGTTTATTTTCACGTCAGTGATTTGAGTAGAAATGCTTGAAGATGTTAGAAAGAGGAGGCAACTTTTTGTGATGATCGATTAACAACGAGCGGTGTAGCTTCATGTAGTCTTGCGGGTTCGCCATGTTACTGCTCAACTTCTATCCAGGAAGAAAGCAAGGTCGTTCCATCAACCAGTTTTCAGCACAATGTACGATTACAACTCCATTTATTGATAATTTCAGGTAAAATTCACTACCATTTGGTGATATAAGTTGGAGACATAGCATTGAAACGGTTGCTTGAGATAAGACATAAATTTCAATACCTTCGCAAATTCTTTCCTCTTAGAATGGCACTGTGAAACGTCGTTGTGTAATCGTAGAGTACTTTCTCACCGTTCTACATAGGTGGAAGTTTTAAAACTTTCAGAGGTCATTAAAATTTTCACACTCAATGATTCATTCTCATGTATCACTTGTGGAACTGGCGTTTGGGCGGTTCAACTCGAGATTGACTTCTACAGGAACATCTTAATTATAGGATGTAGATGTTGGAACGCCACTGTTCACCACTCGTGCATTTGATCTCCACTTTACTCAGTGGTACGTGATTCCGGTTTCGACGCTCTACTTGTAGGAGTCGCTAGTCGAGGTGTTGAGCATATTTTCGACAACGGCCTTTCATGTACACTTCACGTCTGTGTCCTGGTCATGTTTAATACTAAACCCTCACATGCTGGTGGTTGCAGGATATAGGGTTGCCATTCTAGCCTTTGAGTCATAATCGAAATTACGTCTGGAAGATATCGAAGTGTTTCATCATGGCGAAGAAATCATCCTTGAGTTTTTTGGTGAACATGATTCCTAGAGGTTTACAACCACAGCACCGTGACATGGAATCGATTGCGCTTTGGGGTGTCGCCTCTGTTGTAGGCATATTTTGGCTTATTCAACCATGGGATTGGCTCAGTGAGAAGATTTGTGGTCCCGAGGATAAAAACCCACTGAGCCCTTCCAGCTCATTCAGGTCAAACTCTTTGTGAAAATGTGAAGGTCACAGTGAACTGATTCCAAGCACGCGATGGTTTTGTCAAGGACATGGTCACCCCAGATGCAATACTCAATACTAAGCTTCCTCAAGTACCCAAAATGTCCTACATATCAGAACTCTATCTGCAACTTGCGTTGCTCCCGGGGCAAAGAAATGAGATGTTTCAGCCTGTGGCTTTCCAAAAACGTGCTGATATTGCGTTAGAACCACATTGTTAGGTTTCAGAAAAGGTTGGAAGCGCATAGATGTAATTGCAGCTGTGTCTTAAAGACTCACTGCCTGCGATGTATCATTTTTGGTAGGATTTATGCGTGACCATTATCTGCGGATCAGTAACTTCGATATGCTTGGTTGCTACAACTCTACATAGAAGCAGTTCGGTGGGTACATGTCGTACGCTTCTGCGATCAGTACATGCTGATTATGTGCGTCTGATGATACGGTCGCAGATATTACAGAGAAGTGAGTTTCCTTTTCTTTTTTTCTTTTCTTCTTTTATTTCTTTTATTGAGGGATCTGTTATCGTAAGCTCCCAGACAGATTGCAGCCTAGACCCAGTATCATCCCATAAAATGATCTTCGTACCACAAGTTACAGTTCATTTACAAAACACTTCTAGAAACTACGAAGTGTACAAGACAATTTTCTCTTCAGGAGCTTCTCAAGATTTTTCAATAGGAGTCACGATCCCAATCTAGCATATCTCTCTAATAATTTGAAGATGTCGTTCCTTAGGTAGCATAAATCACGCATGAGTGGACAGGTCTAGCAGAGACAAATTCGGTGATACGAAGGACTACTCACATATTTGAAATACAAGTAAAAAATTTAAAGCAGAAAAAATCAGACGAATGCAACAGATATTTTGAACTGGTGATAGGGCAATACTGCACGTGTCGTAGTAGAGAACAAGAACGAGCAGGCTCCAATACAGACGAGAAGAGATTATTCTTCCAAAACCGATACGTTTGGAGGGCTGTACTAAAACACTGACAATGAAAAGATAAGCAAACCATTTAATTAAGTGGTATACAGGGTGAGGTTTCTGCACGAAAATCAGATTCGGTAGTCACATTCTGGAGTTGCAACTGCATAAACCTCAAGCAGGGTAGACCCATTGGTAATTTAAGCTAAATCCTGACCAGATGTGACTGCTGTTGAACATAAAATATGATTTTATTTCTAGTAAGACAAAAGCGCATCAGCATGAATATGTGGACATATTCACCAAATCCAAATTCTTCTTCCAAAGCAGAAAGAAAAAAGTTGTGTCTATACAAGACCTCGGGCTTATGTCCAACTAATTTGCGAATCCAAGATATTACTGATGGGTAGTGAAAACGGAGCATATAAACAGATTCAGTCTGTTCAGCTAACCAGTCCAGCGTCCACCTACAGGATATATGATGCATGTTCTATCACACATAATGAACACTAAAGAATCAGGACGATTCACTTCCGCCATTCACTTGTTTAAAATAGGCGAGACGGCCCCAGTAGATGCTTAGGAAGAACACCAACTTTAACAGCATTTTCATCCCTCTGATGAAATACAACCGCACCAACACATCTCGGGCACTTGTTATAAGTTGAAGGCGTTTTTCTTGCAGCATGTCTTCAAAGTTCGCTTCCTCTACTTATTGTTGAATAACTGAGCAATATCTGTCATTGAAAGCGCATGCACACAATCATCGGTCGTAAGTTTCAGAACTTATGAGTCAAGAATAATTCACATTCCATCAACAACAAGCACTGTGAAAAAAGAGAAGGAAAATCAATAGCTGACCTCCACGTATACATCAGGCTCGGTGAGTCAAGTCAGCGACAGAAACGTCTCTGTACCCTAACAAGTTTCTTCGGTTGCAGTCATAATATTCCAAGCCATCATAACCAGCTTGACAATGATCTGCTACACCTTGTCGGTGTCTTTTAGGATCACCTCAGTGTCGCAACACAAAAACCAAGTTTGTAGCAATATAACTGGCACTTGCAGTAGCTATACAACTTCAATATACGGCAATGGCCATTACCCCAGGAGTACATCAAGGTGCAGAGAGGACCACCAAAGCATTAAGTGCTGGGATCTTGAAAAGCTTCTCCACAACCGCCTTGGTCTTCTCTGCTTTGCAAGTACCCCTGCTATAACCTCGTCTAGCAAAACCAAAAGCTAATTTATCGACTGTTCAAAAATTGAATCTACAAAAGAAAAGAGAAAAAAGAATAAGAAAAAAGAAAAAAATTGCATCCTGAAATAAAACTATAAAACACATGATGTCGAGATGTGCCAAAAAGAAGCATGACATCCCTTCATCCTACAACCCCTAGTTAAATCACAACACGCGGCTTTCATTGTACACAACAGCCCAAAATCCAGATAAATTGTTCTATCACTGAATGCTATCATAAGACTACGCAGCGATGCAACTCAAAAATTCGTCACATCACTCCCCACTCTCCTGACACTGCACATGCTATCATGTGAGTAATTGAATCCTTCCCGAGGGAGGCTCCTCTCCAATCTCTTCTAAGGTTACAACCTGCCCAAACATAAGCTTTCACTGCGCGATATTACTAGGTGTGCCTCCGACTATAACTGCAAAGAGAACTTCGGTTTCACCTCCATGTTGTGTAGGTCATTAAGATTGTCGCTATCATAGCTTCTGTTCTTCTAATCCACAAGGAAACCAAAAGAAACTATACATACGGTTTTGAAGAATCAGGTGTAGGCTGCAATAGGACCATGACCTCCAAGCCTAAACGTATCACCCCCATAGCTATCACGCTGAGAGAGTGGATTCAGTCCCAGGTCAGGTTACACGTAAAGTGAGACCCAGACATATAATCTAAGGATGCCTAAACAGACTGAAGCCAGAAAGCGATACAATACAACACGAGCGAAGAGGCTGAACCCAGAACGTTGAGGAAAGCCAGGGGGAGGAAAATTGAATAGTTTCATCGAACCTATATACAGTCCCCCAACCTGGGAAAAATCTCCTTCAAACGTTTGTAGATTAACCATCAAGCTGCTGAAGAATCCGAGTAAAATCGAATCTGAAGTCCCTAAAAGCGTTGCCAGGAGGTCCTTTAAGAACAGTTTTAGGGGGGATCCTAGACAGTGTCTTTGGAGTCATCCCTTGAGCCGCCCTTGGAGAATTCTTTGGAGAGCTGTTTGGAGAGCTGTTTGAAGAACTGTTTGGAGAGCTACTTGGAAAGCTCTTTGGAGAATTCTCTGGGGTGCTCTTTGGAGAACTCTTGATTTCCTCTGACGATGGTACGGGTGCAGCTACAGCTGCAGGTGCTCGAGGCATCACTGAGGACACATAATTTTGTCCGAAGGTGACTGACCCCGCTGACGACAAATTGTTCTTCACCTTCCAAACTGTAACAGTTGGAAGCAGATGCACTCTCTTTGAATACTGAGGTCGTTTCTTCGCGATCCAATTCTTAAGAGGAGTCACAAACGGGAAAATCATAAAATATTTAAGTCCGTTAGGACCCCGATGGTGCATTACAGACTCAGGTTTAGCAACATGCAGTTCGTCCACTCTGTGCCACGCTATTTCGCTCACTTCTTTCTTCGTTTGAGGCTCGAACATGGTGTCATCCTTGACACCCGGGATAATAAATAGACGCATCCGCTGCTGCCCTACTACTACCTCCAAATGATCATCCAGGTTTAATTTGGGTTGTATGTTATACGATGTCTCCTCGATCACTTCCCGCACAGCACAGATAGAATCCTCCTCGTCCTTGTTCTTCTTCCCTCGCGGAAAGCCCCAACTTGCACCGGCCTTCCAACCCTTCACAAGCAAACATCTCTCCAGGGTTTCGTCCAGCATGATCGCGCCCGCCACGGGCACACTCGTCTTGTACGTCGTGAAATCCTTATATATGTTGTCAATGTGAGCTATGTACGGCCGCAGCGCCGCGCAGCTCTGAAACATCAGCGACGTGAATTCCCGAAGCGTCAGAAACTTCAACGCCATGTCCTGCTCCATCGCATTGTCCTCATAGAACCAGTGCGCCTGTTCCACGGAGAACAACATCCTCTCAAACGCCTTGAGCTCCTCCTCCGGCATGTTAAGCACGAAACGGCTGCAGAGATCGTCCAGCAGCTCCTGCGACGGCAACTGCGTTCGCTGTGGTGAACCCCCGCTTCCAACCCGCCCTCCTAAACTCCCAACCACAGCACGACCACTCGTCGGCATTGTTGCCCGTCCCATTGTTCGCCACAACAACTCCTAAGCACCACAAAATCCCCACCGCGCATCCAAATCGCGCACTAACCACGTCCCCCTCAAACACAAACACCAAAAATAAATAGCCTCCCCCTCTCACCAAAAACTGGCAATCCCGCTCGCAAGTTTGCTCCTACAGCAAACGAAGCTTCGAGAAACCCGCAGGAGCGTTGCAAAAATGCGATCAGGTGGACCTGCCCCAAGATTGATTCCTCCCCCTCCCCCTGCGTCTCATCCACACCACGTCAGCCGTGGCGCTACGGTCGGTGTTAACGCGCACCCTATTTTCCCGTAAAAAAACAAAAACAAAAACAAAAATTAAACCTCAGTCGCCGTGCTACAACGTCTTCTGTCTCGACAACCAGCTCTCGCTGACTCATTCTAAATGCAAAGATACCTCCAAAGGGAATACAAACTCCTCCACACTTGTTCAAGCGTCGACAAACAAACACACTCGCAAACACGCACGTACGCAATCAACCAATCTTGCAAAAAAAAATTCCTCCGTAACCCTAATCCTGCAATTTTGCTACGACGCTCACCGAACCAGCATCACATTTTGAGGCTCCGTGCAAAGTCAGTCGCTCAGCTTCGAATTGGGCTCGGTTTTCTGGCCTTGTTGCGAGTTTTCGCATCGAAATCTGTAGTAAAAAGAAACGCAATTGCAATGTTCGAATGCGACGAAGTAAAGACAGAGGAAGAAGACGAAGGCAATACGAGAATATTAAAACGATATTAACACATACTGGCTCTCATTTCAACTTATACCTTGGGCCTTAACTATGCTCTACAGTTGTATAAATATTTTTACTAAATATTAGTCTCAATAAAAAAAAATGAAAGTATTCATTTTAAAGAATTGTAATTTTTTTGCTTTTTCAATTATTTAAATAACATAGTGTTTTTTTATTAAATTGTATGAAAGTAATTTATTCTTAAATTATAATCACGTTGTATTTTATTATTTTTGCAAAGTTTCACAAAAATAGCTTTATTTTTATATAGTATTGATGATAAAAATTTGTAAATTAATCAAATTGTAATTTTATTTATTTATTTGTATTTGTATTTTTATTTTCTTTGACACAACAACAAGGCATACCTGATGCAATTTTTGTCATTAGTTGTAGGGATTTCGCAATTAGGATTTAAACCACCAATCTCTTTGGAACAAACTTCAGAACTCGAAGGTCCAATCTTCCATTATCAAGTACTTTAGGGTCATTGTGGACCTTAACAAATTGATTTTCAAATGTTCCACAAATTTTTTTAATAGAAACATTATCTTATTTTAAATTATTATTATTATTATTATTATTATTATTATTTCTTTTTACTACTTGAGTCATTTGTAAATATTTAAAGGGATGATTTTTTTTTAGATTTAATATTTGAATGACCATCAAATACATGTGTATGTATGTATATACTTTTTATATATGCATATTATAAGTTTGATGGACAAATTTAAAGTTTGATAGGATTCAAATTAATTGCTCCTATATTTTATTGTTAATTAAAATAGTAGTCTAATATAAATGAATTTTTTTTGTACATTATAATATATTTAAAATAAATTATTTACCAATTGCAGATCAAATAATACAAATTATCATTGTTAAGAGTATAAAAATACTTTAACTTGTCAAAAGAGAATCTAATCATGTCCAATTAAAAATAAAGAATAAAAAAATGTAAAGAAGTATTTTTTCGAATAAAAACTTATTAAAATGATTATTAAAAATACTCATATTGTTTGGAAGACGTTTTTTTGTAATACTATTACACATTTAAATATACTTATAGATTTAATCCATGTATTAGAAAGCATCCTTAATATTTTTATAGAATATGATATCTATCTAATGTATTTAAATTTATTTTTACTTAATTTTACATTAACTAATATACACATCTATGATACCTTCTTGCACAAATATCATCACTTTATTTATATATATATATATAGGGCAATGTAAAATAGACCCATGCTTCTACTAAATTGACCCACCCTTGATGAAGAATATGATAATCATGATATTGTGGTTGGTTTTTATTGGTTGTAGATCCAATATTAGAGAAATGAATCAAGAGGTCATTTTTATTTTTATTTTTTTATAATGGTTAAGATGGGTGGGTTGATTTAGAATAAACTTGGGTCTATTTAACATTTTCATATATGTATATATTTATCTAATATCCTAAAATTTACATTATAATAATCTTAGAATAAAGGTTTATTAGTATTTTCAAGGAATTATTTTATCTTTATTTGTGAATTATTAAATCTTAAAACAAGAAATTATAAACTTTGTAATTTTATACTTTTAATTGTAAAATTGTAACTTCCCAATTTTTATAACTGGTTTTTAATTTTTAAAAAAATAAATAATCAAAATTCGTCTTTGTGTTGGAAATCTTGAAACCACAACATTTCTTCTGCTTCTTAAGATTTTTTCCTTTAAATGTCATTTAGATCGTAATCCTTTCAAATAGATCTTCAACACAATAAAAAAATGTTAAACTGTAATAACTTTCTATACTAATTTGCTAATTCCATTAAATAACTATTCTTACTGTCAAAGAGAGAATGCCAAATTTAATCACAAATTTATTTGCAAACCAAAATTTTCTGCAACATCTTTTTTCAAACAATTTCTACACACAAATCCATTTGAGTACACAAAAATCGCTTCACAGTTTAATAATATTCATCAAAAAGCTGAAACATATGCTTGTCACACACATAATTCAAATTTGATGGTTTTTATTTATTTATATTTTATTCTTTTATTCCTTTTTACTAAATTCCAATCTTGTTATGGTTGGGAAAAAATACCCCTAGATATCAGTCTTTCTTAAAATCTCAAATATTACACACTTTACTTTCTAGATTCTACACTCATTTAGATCAGGCGGTGCAAATTCTGGTACTGATTTGGCTTCTTCAAGTACAATTCTTCGAGTTTCTTTTGGTATTCGATAGCACCAAATTGCAATTTCGTATCCCTTCCTCTACAGAAACCCTAATATCTTCATCACCCAAGTCGCACTGACCCTCAGTCTCCGATGCCGAATCGTTTATCTCTGCAACAACTCGATCGTGCTCGGCGCCTTCTTATCATGCAACGTGAAGTAAGAAGCTGCGGTAGTCCGAAGCCTTTATAGCAGATCCTTTGCACGCATACAACTCCGAGGCTCACCACTTGAGCTACTGCTCGACTCTGTCTCCTTATCAATCACAATGGGCGCCACAATGATAGCCACCATAGTTCTTAGTTTTAGAATCCTAATTATTTATTAAAATTAGGAAGGACCTGCTACAGATGTATCTCACTATCTCATTTCCCTTCTTGTATAAGAGTAGTTGCTTCTCTCTCTTGGCCTTCACATTCTATCACTTCCCTGCCACCCTCCTTTCTTTGCATCACTACCCTCTTCGTCGTTGCTTACACTCTTGTTGGTTATCTTCTCAATTTTGTATCTACTACAAGAGTGGATAGATAAGTAGATAGATTTGACAATAAGTTGCCAAAGATTAGTTTGCATAATTTGGGCACATTTTATTATGGAAGAGATTTATGTTTTTATTATCTTTTTTGCTATTATTTTGAAATATATAAAAATTTTCAAGTACTTTAGCTTTGCCATTTGTGAAAAACCAATGATTTGTTGAGTCATTGAGATATTAACACATTATATGGTATAAATTTTTAAAATGTTTTTTTCTTCATGTTCATTGCTAGATATTACAACTACCTAGTTGTTGTGGCAATTGTTTTTCTTTAAATGCAAAATTGTAGTTGTTCGCTTTACAATTATAATCATTGTTCATTAATCTAAGAAATGTATCACCATGTAGTAGAGTTCCATCATGTATATTTGCTTTTTACAATTAATGATTGAGGGGGTTTAGTGTAGCTTTTAGAATTCAAATTAACTTAGTAGAATTTGTACACTACATGTTGTGTACCATGGTTAAATAATTCTATTAGTTCAAATAATACTATAGTAGTTATCAAGTAGTTGCGTTGTTGTGATATACTCATAAGATTTATGCCACGTAATAGTCATTAATTGTTTTATTTTCTTCCAAAATACTATAAATACCGTGAACCTTCTAGATATTTGTCTACCTTAAGATGTGATTTTATTAGGTAGTTTGGTTTTTTAGTGGTATTTATTTTATCCTAAAAAATCAATATGCATGATACAAAGATTTTTTTTATTTTTTATTTTTTATTTTTATTTTTGAACTAGTTGAAAATATACTATATAATGCAACAAAGGAACAACTTCTACATATTTGTAAAGAAGTAAGTCTTATTGTAAATTTTTGGTATATATTCTAATGATCTAAATTTTGCTAATTCCAATATAAAGCCAAGTCTTTTATGCTATTGTAATGCAAATAATACATCTAATTTTTTAATGTGTTTTTTATTGGTGTTTTGATATCTCTAATTTTTTAACATGTATTTTCTTAAAGAAAATATGAAATATGTTGAAATAAGTATCTAGAATAGTACAAATTGAACCTAATTGTTGACTACTTCATTTTATTTTAATTGTCTGATGTTTCTTCATTTCTTTGCACTTGCTAATTTATCTTATATATTATATGATTTTTAATTATTATACAATTAATTGTATTAGTTTTATCATTTTTTTTTATTTTCACTAATTTAAATATATTTAAATCCTATATTAATACTAGATAGTGAGATAAATAAATCAAGAGAATATAGATTCTATAAGTTCAAAGATAAGATATAACATGATATAAATAAGATAATTATATAGATAGTTAGAACCATGGAAGTTTCTAGAATTGGGAATAAGTTAGTGGACTAGGTAGGAGCCATTGTGGAATATTCTAGAAAGAATTTAGGGTGGTTATTTAGGTGGAGTCCACCATGGAACCTTCTAAAAAAGGTTTAGGGTGGTTATTTATATGGGGCCTATTATAGAACCTTCTAGAAAGGAATTTAAGTCAGTCATCTAGATGGAATCTATCACTTAAGAATATTTTAGAAAGTCTAAGGTGATAGAATAAGATATAAATAGGACTAGCCAGGGCCTTTTGGGGCATCTACTTAGGTATGGCTTTGGATCCTTTTTCTTAGTAAAATTTGGTTTTACATCTTTTTGTTCAAATCTGTTTTATTCTGTTTCTGTTTACTCAGTTTTGTCTTTCATGTCTTATTTTGTTTAGTTCCGTTCAATTTTGATTCTGGTCTATTTTGTGATGAGACTTTATATTATTGTAGTTTAGAAGGATCTTGGATTTTTGAGATAGTCTAGTCCTATTTTATTGGTATGAGAGGAAGTATTAGACTATTTACTTTTGGTAGCATGTCAATAGTCATCATTTAGTTCAAGATTAGTTGTTGTAGTCACACTAGATACTGTATTGATGCTACTACGAGCTACTCTTAAAAAATCAATCGGGAGGTGAAAAGGCATTATAATAATAGAGTCCACTGGAGAAATTATAATATAGGAGACATGGCAAAGAAATTCGAGATAGAGGCTCAAATACAATACTTTTTAAGCCAAATAGCTACTTTACAAGGGCAAATAGAAGCCTCAAGGACAAGAGAATCGACATCTATTAGATTGAAATTGAATAAGTTTGGTACATACTCTGAGACTTCAAGACAAGAAGATGTATGTCAATGGCTCTTCAACATAAAACAATATCTCTAACT